TGGATCCCGCTGTCCGCTCTGCACTGGAGGGGAGGCCAGCCTCAGAGCTGGCAGGGCCCTGATGAGGGAGTCGGGGGCGGGGGGCGGTTCTGGGCCAGGCCCAGGCAGTGGGGGAATGGGGGCAGCAGGGCCAGACACTCTCCTTACCCTGCCGGAGATGTAGCCCCCGATCCACACCTGGGCCCGGTTGGTGCGGGCACGCACCGTGCGTCTCAGGCGCCGGTTGGTTGCATAGTTGTGGATGGAGGCCAGGCGGCCGCGGTAGCAACGGGCACACACGCGCTGTGGGGAGAGGGGGAGGGAGACATGGGGCATCCACCAACTACCACCCCATGCGCCATCCACTGCCTCTATGCCCCCTATGTCACCCCTTCAGCCCCTCCACTGCCCCTATGCTGCCTCCACCACCCTACCACTATCTACTGCTCCTCCACTGCCCCCACATCCCCTCCACTGTCCCCATGGGCCCCCCGTCACCCGTGTACCCCCTCCACTACCCCCATGTGCCATTCTCTAACCCCATGGGTCTCCCACCCCACTTCCTGACCCATCTGCGAGTCCTCCCCACCACCTGTGCCCCTGCGTCACTCACCTGGGCTCCCCGAAATGTCAGGCAACGGTTCACAAACACATAGCGACAGGTGCGGCCCTCCTGGCCAGGCACTATCACCCTGAAGCTCTCGCTCTCTGTGGGGCATGGTGGCTCCGGCTCCCCGGGCTCCTCCTCGCCCTGCTCGGCTGGTACCTCCTGCTCCGGGGCGCCCTCATCTGAGGCTGGGTGCGAGAGACACCAGTTGGCCCTTCCAGCTGCAAGACGCAGCCCAGATCCCAAACAATCCTTGGAGGTGGGAGCAAATCTAGTGGCCAGGGACACAGGTGTCCGGGATAGAGGGTCAAGGTGTCACTGGGGGGTCAGGGGACCCTGGTGTTCCGGATGGAGAGGGTCATAGGGTTATTGGGGGGCCAGGGGACCCTGGTGTCTGGGCTGCAGTGAGGTGGAAGGTTATTGGGGGCAGGGGCCCCAGGTGGCCGGAACAGAGTGGAGTTGGGGGCTAGTGAGAGCACAGGTCTGGGGTAATGGAGCCCTGTACTCTGCTTGCTGGGGTCTGACCCAAGCCCATGGGGTCCATGCAGTGTCTGCTGGGGGTGTGGAGGTTCCCACTGGGGGCAGTGGCTGTGGGTCAGGCTCCCCACAGCGTGGGGGAGGGGCTGTAGCCACGGGGACTTGGGACTCAGGACTTACGGAGCTGGTGAGCAGAGACGGCCCCCAGCAGGGCAAGTGCCAGGACCAGGAACAGCTTCATCTCGGGCAGACCTGGGATGGCAAACCACTGTGAGAGAGAGACAGATTGACACCCCCCGTCCAAACTCCCCACAGTCACTGAGCCCATACCGACCCTCCTGCCTAGAGCCTATCCCCCTCCTTCCATTTAGCTCAAACTGATCCCCACCCCCCCCGCCCTGAACCTAGGGACCTCCTGTCACTGCACCCTGACCTACCACCAAACTCTCCTGGGCTGATGACCGCCCTCCAACCAATGCAGCCTTTCCCAGCTAAGGTAGGGCTGGGCCAAGCAAGGGTGAAGAAGAGAGCCCAGGGCCTTGGCTCAGCTGGGGGGAGACAGGTGAGCTGTAACTCACCTGCCCTGTAACACAGGGACAATGGGCTGTGGGCATCCATTGACTATGGACAGAAGGTGGCAGAGAGAACCCAGAATGTGCTGTTAGTCTGTGGAACTCCCTGCCACAGGATACAAGGGGCCAAGAGCGCTGAGCAGTGCCAGGCCTTTCTGGGCATCAGAGCAGCCTCAGGGGCCAACAGTGAGGCCTCATGACCTCAGGCTCCAGGGCAGGAGCTGAGCAGCCCCCAGGGTCAGGCAGGGATCTGCCCCTGCCACAGAAAGGTGAATTATGGCAGTCACTTTCCCAAGGCATCCAGCACTGGCTGCTGTGAGACCCAGGCCCTGACCGAGCGATCCCACTCTGGAGCGGCTCCCCATCACCACCCATAGCCCCTGGGGTCACCCTCACCTCTGTGATGGCTGTGGGTCCTCAGCGAGCTCCAACGGCTCCAGCCATCCCAGCCCCTTATATAGCTCTGGAGCAGGAGGCTGGGGGTGTGGAAAGAGCCACTATCAACTCCCAGCCCCTTATTCTCT